TTGCACCTGTGGAGATGCTCTTGCACCTGTGGAGATGCTCTTGCACCAGTAGAGATGCTCTTGCACCTGTGGAGATGCTCTTGCACCTGTGGAGATGCTCTTGCACGTGTAGAGATGCTCTTGCACCTGTAGAGATGCTATTGTACCAGTAGAGATGCTCTTGCAATAATTAAAAGTAGACAGTGCCTTGAGGTCAATTCCTGTTGTCTCCATATATAAGTACGAGCACGCGTACACACATTCACACACAAAACCCAGGTCTGAAACCTCGAAGTCTATGTCCATAATCTCAGCATTTAGGATTGTGAGAAGGCCAGCCTGGGTGATGTTGAAAGATATCTCAAAAAACAAAGACAAAATAAAGCAAGGAGATTTGAATGAGGCGAGGCCTGGGTCAAGTCTTTTTCTTTCTTTCTTTCTTTTTTATAGACTAATTATTATGTGTACAGTATTATGCCTGCAAGCCAGAAGAGGGCATCAGATCTCATTATAGATGGTTGTGAGGCACCAAGTGGTTGCTAGGTATTGAACTTACAACCTCTGGAAGAACAGCCAGTGCTTTTAACCTCTGAGCCATCTCTCTAGCCTGAGTCAAGTCTTGTAGTATCAAGCCTTGTTGCCATAAGCAACTATACCAGCAAGAAGCTTTCAGCAGAGCCTAGATCATTAATTTAATCTCCACTCATGGGGTTATACCTAAGAGGAGCCAAGTCAGAAACTGTTCACAGAGGTGTTAATGCATTAGCACTCTCAAATGCACCATGCAAGTTATGCACACAAGCATAAACAACAGTACACAATCATTTTGGGTCACACTCTTTTACTGTCCAAAAGACTGCTATGATCACAGGGATGGGCATCCTGGCCCCTCACTCCTCAGCACTCTGTGAGCTGACATAGTCCTGCAGAAGTGCCTGCACCTCTGCCCGTCGGCTCATCTTGGTGGCCTTGCCCTGGAAGCGGCCCTTCTTCCCTGCTCCTTTGCCTTCTAAGACTTCAGCCACCCTAGAAAACAGAGAAAGTTAGGAGATGGTTGGTGAAAAGTCAAAAATCAAGGGCAGTCCTCAGGGCCTAGAGGAAGGAGACAGGGCAATTTCTAGGAATCAGAGAAGGCTGATGCAGGAGACTGATGCAAGTTTGAGGCCAGCTTCAAAGACTATCCAAAAATCAAAACTGTTGGATGTATTGTATTGATTCGTACTTGGGAGGTGGAGACAGGAGGATCAAGAGCTTGAAACTAGCATGGGCTGCAGGGTAAAACCTTGTCCGAAAAAAAAAAAGCAAGAAGAAAAACAAAGTAGGAAGAAGGGGGAGGAGGGCGGGAGGGAGGGCGCGAGGGCGGGAGGGAGGGAGGGAGGGAGGAAAGAAGGAAGGGGAAGGGCAGAAGACAAACCTGACTCCAGGCCACATATGGTGCCCGTTAGGAATCTCCATTATAAATAACTGTTTTCCTTCAATGTTTCCAAGGAACACATATTACTTATCACCAATAATGACTGAAAACTCTAATGCTCAAAAGAACAGGAGTCATATACCTCTGGAGGTAATTTAAAACAATAAAAAAAGGCAGGCATGGTGGTACACACTCAGGAGACAGAAGTGGGCGGTTTGCGAGCTGTCACCCATGCTGGGGTGGGCTTTGGTGATGCAGCTGTCTTTGAGGCATTTCTGCTCCTGTAAGTGACCCCTCACCCATATTCCTGCAAGTGACCCCAATAAAACTCCTTGTTTCACCATGTAAGACTCGGGTCTGTCCCTGGACCCCAGCCTGGGGTAAGGAGACAGTCGTTCCTAATTCTCCAGGAACTGTCACATTAACACCTACTTCTAGGGATCAAATTTTCTTTAAAACAAACAAAAAATCCCTGTGGTTGATTCTCATTCTGCCACTTTAACTACAAGACCTCAAACACAGGATGTACGGTCCCTAATCCATCAAACGAGTAGTGCTGGCGTCAGCCCTCACCTGCTAGGCCGGCCTCACATCCTATGTGAACCATCATGGATGTGATGCCCTGCTACCTAGCACATGGCCGCATCAATATGTCAGAAGGACACAACTTCCCCACCCACTGCGCAGGAGCCCGTATCACATTACCTGGGCCCCAGGGTCTCCACGGCCTCCGCTGGCCCTGCCAATAAGAAGAGCCCAGCACCTTTCTCATCCCCCACAGTTAAGAACAGGAGGGTCTCCTAGGAGGTAAGACAAGGAGGTGAGCACACACAGGGTCAACTCCCTAGGGCCCATACTCTCCTGAGTCTAGAACAGGCAGCTCCCTCTGAACCAGAGACATCACTGATGCCAATGACATAGCCTTCCTTCACTCTGGCATGCTGGCCCAGCAAGCTTTATGAGAGCAGTCAGGAGGTCAAACACAAAGAGGAGGCAGCAGGCAGCTGACTGTCATGGTCTCACGACCACCACCCTTCCCCATCTCTGCTCTACCAGACACCTGATCTGCCAGCCACTATGCTCCTTGGCTACCTGAATACCTCTAAGCAGGCTTTGGGGCCTGGCCCTGGAGCCTCTCGTTCCCTTTAGGTAATGGGTTCCGGTTCCAGCATTTATCACTTCAAATTATAAATGCTGACAGACACATGTCTCTCAGGCTAGAACATGGCTCTTTGAGAATCAGTGCTGTGTAGAAAGCAGAATTACTTGAGCCCCAGGGAGACATTCCATAAAGGGTTTAAAAGGGCAAAAGAAACCTGGCAATCACCTATGCTAGACTATAGGGATGAAGAAAGGCAAGTGAGGCCTGAGGCAGAGGCCTCCGAGGGGTCTCTCAGCACACAAATCCAAATGCTTCCGAGCTTCCCTAACAACAGAGCTGGGATCGTGGCTAGTGCTAGGAAAAACAATCTGGGTGAAATTTTTTTCAGCTCTTCATGTGCTAACCTGAAGGGACTCAGGCTAAGCTAACTCCGTCAGTTCCACCTCCCAGAGCCTCTGCAGATAGAGGAGTACTCTCTCATTCCTCTTACCTCTGACCCAATCTCGTTGGCGATGATATTCATGAACTCAGAATCACCCTCTTTCCTACAACAAAGGACACAGGTATGAGACCCAGGATGAGGCAGCTCTGTGTCACTGCCTCAAGAGAAGGAGCCAGGCCAACAACGGACAGATTTCATTGCTTCCCATTTGAGCACACAAAGTTCCAGACCCCTCAGCATAGAGAAAATGCCCCCAGCTTCAGCAGTTTATGCACAAAGGATCTGTCAGATGGTGAAGGAAGCCAGGAAAGGAGCTAACGAAGCCGACAAAGTCCAGTAACACAGCTCCTGCGGTCTGTTCAGCCTAGTGTGCTGCTTAGCAAGCCACGCCCCACTGTGCACTGCCCCTCTCATCCCTCTGCCTGTCTCCAGCCCCTCCTCTCTCACCTGTGTAGCGTAACCACACTTCCCCAGTCTGGGCTGCTCCTGAGGCTGTGGGCAGTGTGCACAGCCAGGTCTCTGAGGAGACTCAGGTTGTTCTGAAATGGATGTGAAAACTCAGACAGGTGCAAGAGACAACAGGGAGCACCGTTCTCTCTCCTCCTGTGCAGCCCTCGAACCCCCGATAATCCACACATTGGCCCAGGCTACAGTCTCCCTGGCAGAGCCCAGGCCCTCTCCACTCCCCATAGTCACCTTCTGCAGGAGCTTGGTGGCATTCTGGAGCTTCTTCACTGCTTCCACGTGATCCTCAGCTCCACACCTATAAGACAACGGTTACTGGAGACTGGACAACTGTCCAGGTGTTTCCAGAGTTGGTGGGGGGACACCAACCAACAACCTCTCCTTGCTGGGGCGCCTTCCTCAAGATGGGAACATTCAAAGGGTCCCTTAAGCAACCGAGAGAGAAGATAGCAAGGAATAAACCATTGTGTGTGTGTGAGCTGCTGTCCAAAGCACCTCACCCTCCAGCTAGCAGATTATCCCATCTACCCCGCAGGTGGGAATGCTAAACTCCAGTGGTACAGGCCTGGGGAGCAGGGGCTGGGGGCGGGGCCTACTTCAGTAGTGTGGTCAGCGCTTTCTCTCTCCCATGACTTCGGTCCATCCACTTCAGTACCCGGTGCCCAGCCAGAAATATCAGGTTGCTTTTGTTCTTTTTCCCTTTCTCAGTGCCCAGAATCTTAATGACCTACACAAAGGGGGTAACACACACACACACACACACATATACACAGCACAGTGGCTATTAGGACACAAAGGCAAGAGAGATCAGACTCCCTCTTTAGCTATGAAGCAAGGAAGGGGAGACGTAAGAGACTCACCTGTCACTCCCAGCCTGCTCCCCAATAAGCTGCCTCACACTCCACAGCCCTTCCACACTTACCTGCAGGTCACTGAGATTGCTCACGTGGGTCCCACAGCACATGTTGGAATCGACACCCTCGATGGTAACAACTCGAATAGGCCCAGCGTGGTCATCTGGGAGACCCCGGCCCCGCACCTACAACAGGGGGAGGGAACAGGGCTGTCTGAAATTTGATGAGGAGCCCTTGAAGAGCCACTCTGTGGACACTGGTGCCTGCCTCCCGTCTCACCTGCTCCACCTCAGGGTCATCCAGGCTCAGCTCTCGCACACTCACAGGTAGCCGATCTCTGATTTTCTGATTGACACTCTGCTCAATGGCAGCTACCTGCTCTGCAGTCACAGAAGGGCTGTCCAGCTCAATCACACTCCGGAGTCTCCCTAATTCCCTGCCAGAAAAAGCAGCAGGGACACAGCAAGCTGAAAGTACGTGAGGAATGTTCACACTGAGCCTGTAATCCTAGGGCTTAGGACACAGAGGGAGGAAGACGGGACTTTAAGGTCGCCTTCCAATACATAGCGAGTCTATGTTCCTAGACCAGCAAGGGTACCTATCATCTCATACTCAGGAAACTAACTGCTGTGAACTCTAGGCCAACCTCAAACCACAAAGCCAGCCTGGGCAATACAGAAAGACTCTATCTTAAAAAGAAAAAAGAAATCCATAAATAATTGTATTGAATCCACATACAAAAAAAAAAAAATCTCATAGGTAGGGAGTGCCATTCCCATTTTGCAAATGCAGCACCATAAGGAACATGACCAAAGTCACACCAAGGCAGGACCATACTTAGCTCTGGGCTCTAAACTCTATGTTCTTTCCCAAGCAGGCAGATGTCCCTTCTCTCATCTCAAGTTTCTCCAAAGAAACACAAGGTCTTCCCATGACCCAGTCGGTCTTCAAGAAGAAAAGATGGGCAACTCTGAATATTTTATTTTCCTGTCCTAACCCATCGCTGGGAGAAGAGGTGGGAATCAGGGACCTATCCCATCCTACGCATGCCTTCGACTCACCATGACGTCGTCTTCAGCCCAAAGAGATGGTCAGCTACTGCTGTGATGAGATGCTGCCCTGAGCAGGAGCAAGACAGGAGCGAGTTGAGAAGCCCAGCCACACAGCCCCACGACAACATCATCTCAGAAATTCCCACTGAAGGACAGCCAGGCATTTTAGATACATGACTGAAAAATCACAGGGGCTGGGGTCTAGCTCAGGGGCAGAGTGCTTGCCTAGCAAGTAAAAGACCCTAAGTCAATTTCTAGCACTGAACAGGGGCACGGAGATCATCATGAGAATTCTCCTGGCAGCTTTACAGGGCCATTTCACAGTAATTTGCCAAGGTAAAGTAGCTCTTCAGAGGCGGGATCTGAGCTGAAGTGCTGGGGTGTCACTGATTCACTTTACTGAGCATCTGCCACATGCAGAATGCAGGCCCTGATGTCAGAGATGCAGGTGCACTCCTGACTGATGAGAGGGGAGAAGACAAGAAAAGGAAAAGGGGGCTGGAGAGATGACTCAGCGGCTAAAGCACTGGCAGTTCTTCCAGAGGACCTGAGTTCAATTCCCAGCAATCATATGGTGGCTCACAGCCAACTGTAATGAGATCTGGTGCCCTCTTCTGGCCTTCAGGCATACATGCAGACAGAACATTGTATACATAATAAATAAATAAATCTTGGGAAAAAAGAATAAAAGAAAAGAAAGAAAGAAGAATTAACTAGAATACATAAAGAACAAATAGTCAAAGCCCTGAGGAGGAAAGAGGCCTGATCTGTGCAGTAACATGTTCAAACGGATGAGTGTGATGGGGTGCGGGCAGCACACTGTGAAGAGGAGGCCCTGTAAGGCCAAGAGGCCCTGTGAGGCCAGAGCACACACAAGAGCAGGCCTGCTAGGGCTGCAGGCCTCAGTGAGGAGAATGGCTTTCCACACAGAACCACAAGGGACTGAGATGACCTGATTTTCTTCTTTTAAAGGATTATTCTGAGGCTCGGGACATAGTGCTGTGACAGAGGGTGTGGCTAACACATGCAAGGCCCTGGGTTCAATCTAGTGCTGTGACAGAGGGTGTGGCTAACACATGCAAGGCCCTGGGTTCAATCTCCAGTACAGCAAGAAAATAAAAGATTGCTCTATGGCATGAGGCCCTGGATTTAACCCTTAATGTGAGGAAAGGAAGGCTGTTTGGGGTGATGCACAGAAACAGAGGGGCAAGGAGCAAGACTGGAGGTGAGGAAATCAGCCAGGGGTTCACAGGGAGGAAGGCGAGGGCTGGGACAAGGACAACTGCGTGGAAGGAAGGAGAAAGATCCCTGAGGATAATCAAGACACCTGACCTGGCTCAGTGTCTCCAAAAGGGGCATCGATTTGAATGACCGAGGAAATGCTGATGCCCAACACTATATTAACGTAAGCCCAAGGAGAAGAGAACGGCCTTCCCACTTCATTTTGGGACATTATGAATCTGAGAACCTACATGACATCCAGATAGAAACATCAAGTGAGAACATTCCAACCAGCAGGAACTGAGGGGCCATGGTGGCTCATGTCTATAATCCAGTATTCAGGAGGCAGGCAGTCAGCCTGATCGACATATTGAATTTCAGGCTAACCAAGGCCACATAGGAAAACTGTCCCCCCATAAACAAGAAAGGGCTGACAAGATGGCTCAATGAGCAAGGTGTTGCCAGACAACCTGAGATCAACTCCCAAGACCCATACGGTTGAAGGAGAGAAGAGATTCCCACAAGCTGTCCTCTGACTGCTACAGGCATATCCCCTCCCTGATAAATAAATCATATTTTTAAAATGGAGGCTCTTCCAGGACTTTAATGTTTATGATGTTTTCACACTTATCGTATGCTGCCTGAACCAAAGCTAATGCTAGGTATATCCATCCTTCTAAAAGGCCAGCTTAGCTCCAGAACGGAAACCCCACTTCCATCATCATGACACTGCTGTTCCTCCCTTTCCTTCCTGGTCCCGTGGCCCTTACCTGAATGCTGCTGCATGTGATCAAACCTCCGCTCCCAGTCCACGCGGACCTGGACCTGGCTCCCAGGGGACAGAGGTGTCTGTGTGAAATGATCAGCCTGGGCCCCACGGCGGGTAACTCTCAGCACAGAGATGTCATTGATGGTACCACGATCATCAGGCTAGGGGGAGAAAGTCATCAACACTAGGGCAGTCCTCACCCTACCAAGATGCAAAGACACACTTGGGAAGCTCTCAGAGAGGCGGGCACTGAGTTTTCTAGGGGACAAGGAGACAATGCCAAGTGAGATGGGCCCACTTTGTTCTGACAGGACTTCCTGTCCTCTTGCTGAACACCTACACATGCTGTTCTTTAGGGCAGCACAGCAGAATTAAAACAAAAAGAAGTACAGTGTTAAAGGCGCTAGTAAAGTCCAAAAATCTTTAGTCCTCATTGTTGTCACCTTAGATTATCTATTTAGAGACTATCATTAATAGTTCTAAAGTGACCTGAGTGCTCCTGCCTTTAATCACTTAGTCCTTACCACCGATGCCACAATAGATCCAATGATAATCGTCATTTAGGAAATTATCAAGTGCTAGCTGTTCACAAGGGACTGTGCCACCAAATAACACAATGGAAAGACACATAGATCACAGCACAGGAACGAAATCTACTAAATAAGACACACAGATCACACCACAGAAACGAGATCCACCAAATAACACGATGGGAATAAGACACATAGATCACACCACAGAAACGAGACCCACCAAATAACACGATGGAAAGACACATAGATTATATCACAGAAACGAAATCTAAAGAGACCTAATAGTCTTGGGGGATCTGGGAAGCCTGAAGGAAATGATGTGTAATATGAGTTTCAGGGCAGATAAGATGGCTCAGAGGTTAAAGACATTTGCTACCAAGCCTAAAAACCTGAGTTCGATCCCTGGGATCTAGGTAGGAAAAAACTTACCCCCACAAGTCCTATCTCACACATTCTCTCTCTCTCTCTCTCTCTCTCTCTCTCACACACACACACACACACACACACACACACACAAATAAAAATAAAATGAATAAGTGTAATTTTTTTTGGTTTGGTCCAACAGCTTCAATTTGGACTTATTTTTGGATCATTTAATCTTATAACAACAAAAACTGTTAGTGATATGGGAACAAAATAAATGACTTTTTTCTAATCGTGAAGTAGAATACAGAAAACACAATCTAAAGTGACTTTTACGATGGGCCTGACTGAATAAGTGTAGTTTTAAAAATAAGGAGAGACATTGTATAGATACTTGAGGGTTTTTCTTTAGCAGTTCAGGGTGTCTCCATGTGGGAAAATAAGGAACTGATTTAAAAAAAAAAATTAAAAAAACTGTGGAGACCACTCTCTGTTGCCTGTAAGAAAAGATGTAGGACATGTGGCTACTTCTCCAGCACCATGTCTGCCTGCATGCTGCTATGTCCCACCATGATGATAATGGACCAAACCTCTGAAAGTGTAAGCCACCTCAACTAAATGTTTTCCTTTATTAAAAAAAAAACAAAAACAAAAACGAGGGCTCCCCCGCCCACAAGTCTACTGAATTCTCTTGAGCCACTTCTGCTTCAGATCCTCCATGGCTCACTGGTTTCCTGAATGGAGTCTATAAACCTCGTACACCCCCCAGGGCCCTCTGAACTAGCCTCACTCAGCTTCCCAAAACTGTCTCTAGCTCTTTCTCCGCGTGCACCACGGCATTCTTTTATCTACAGTTAGATTTAGCTCGTTCTGTCAGGCTTCACTACCCTTGTTTATGCTGTCCATCTGGCTAGTGAAACCTCTCTTATAATGCCGATTTATGGTGCCACTCTCTTCTTAGACCCCGCCGCCAGGCTCTCCATCAGAGCACTGAGAAGTCAGCTCTGAAGGCCAGTCCCCTCTTCTGAACTCCCAGCAGCATCTTTCACAGTCCCTGTGAAAAACTTCGTGTTAATTCCCACCTCGGGGCCTTTGCACAGTTATTCCACCCGTCTGAAATCTTTCTTTTGCTTGTACCGAGAAGTCTAGAATGCTCTCCACAGAGGAGAGCATCCCACCACTCTCTTTCCCGGGACCCAGCTTTATTTCTAGTGGCATTATTATGGCTTACACCTGGCCTCCGGGGTTGTATGTGATAAGCACTCCATGTATGTAGAGGCACTGTCTTGTTCACCCGTTATCTTCAGCGCCTGGAATATGACACACTGCGTGTGTCATGACTACATAAGCATAACTACATTGCTGAATGAACTAACAGTTGGTTTACTGAGGCTAAGGAAGGGCGAGTGCATTTTCTGCAGGAGCGAATAGGAATGTGGGGGTCCCCGGGAGCGGGTCGGGCTGAGGCTGCTCCTGGTACCTGGCCCCCGCCCTCGGGGAAAAGCAGCGTGTCTTCCAGAACCACATGGAAACCGCTCAGCACTTCTTTCTTGCCGCCGCTCGCGTCCGTCTGCAGCTCAGCAGGGCTGCAGGAGACCACGGTGGTGGTGAACTGGGAACAGAGAGGGAGGCGAGTGTGAGCCCGCGGACGCTGAGATTGCAGCCGGTCCTCCCCCTCCCTCCCGGTGGCACCCTCAGTCTCAGGACCCTCGCCCACCAGACCGCACCTCCCGCGCGTAGCTGTCGCGCTGACACAGAAACGCCATCACGGACTCCTAGGCCCTGGACACCAGCGCACGCCGAAGAGCCGGGCGGAGGACGGCGAGCGACCCGGGACAAACTTTCTTAAGCGTTTCTGCGCAAACGTGATAGCGTAAAGTAGGGGGCGTAGTTTGATCCAATTTACTGAAACTGCTAACTACAGGTGTTCTGTCTTGTTTTGTCAACGTTTTAAGACTGAAAGACCACAAAACAAAATTCACAACTTGATCTGAGACGTTCTTCAGTCTTGGGGCCATGTAATTTGAACTGGGGGGCTCTGCTGCATGAAGGTGGAAATAAGAGGGACTGGACAGAAATAGACAAGGCATGTGTGTTAATATTTTATTTAAAATAACATCCATAATATTTCAGCATGTAATTTTTTTAACTATAGGGAAAAATGTAACCCACAAACCTCAGAAATTTGTGATTTATGATAGTTTGGATTTTTAAAAATATTTATGTGTATGTGTACTAAGTTACAGGTAGCCTCACAACCCTGGTATGGGTGCTAACAACCAAACTCTTGTCCTCTGAAACATACACTACACACTCTTTATCACAGAGCTGTACAGGAAGCTACGGGTCAAGGGCTGACTGGGATGTCTATCTGGGTGAGATGAAATCCCCTGACTTGGATACAAGCCTGTCCAGTAACAACTCCTCGCTGCAAAAGGGGCCAGAATCTCTGACTAGGCTTCCCAGAAGGAGGGGAAAGTGCCAGAAGGAAAGAGACAGTAACACTCCTAGAATTTACTGTAATCTCTTTCTTCTTTGGCCTTTGCTTTACCACATAGAAACATGTGTCCAAATAACCCCCAGCATCCCAAGCACAGATTCTTTTTTTTAAAAAAAAAGATTTATTTATTATGTATACATAATATACATAATTATATACATAATATAATATATGTATATTTATTATGTATACAGTGTTCTGTCTGTCTCCTTGCTGGCCAGAGAGGGCACCAGATCTCATCACAGATGGCTGTGAGCCACCATGTGGTTGCAGGGAATTGAACTCAGGACCTCTGGAAGAGCAGTCAGTGCTCTTAACCGCTGAGCCAACTCTCCAGCCCCCAAGCACAGATTCTAAGTCAAATCAGTGGGAGAAACTGATTTCTCAGTGGGCACAGAAACCCCAACAGCCAGCACCTCACCTTCCCTCCTAGCTAATGCAGGACCACACTGGAGCAACCAGGAGGAAGACCTATGGCATAAAGAGGGACTCTTAAGAAAGAGCTTCTGTCAACTTTTAGGAAATGGAGAAATAATTTAAAAAAGAAAAAAAAAAAGAAAGAAAGAGCTTCTGCCAGGCGGTGGTGGCACGTGCCTTTAATCCCAGCACTTGGAAGGCAGAGGCAGGCGGATCTCTGTGGTCTCTGCCAAGACCAGTCTGTTCTACAAGAGCTAGTTCCAGGATAGGCCTCAAAGCTACAGAGAAACCCTGTCTCGAAAAACAACAACAAAAAGCTTCTGAGGAGGCAGATCTTTGTGAGTTCAAGGCCAGCCTGGTCTACAGAGCTACCAGGACAGGTTCCAAAGCTACACAGAGAACCCTGTCTCCAAAAATAAAAGAAAGAAAGATCCAGCAGGGCACATACAACACCCATTGAGGGAAAGGCAAGAAGGAAAGAAAGAAAGGAAGGAAGGAAGGAAGGAAGGAAGGAAGGAAGGAAGGAAGGAAGAAAAGCTTCTGGAAAAGTTCAGAGGTCTCAGTGGATCTTGATGCATAGCAAAACAGTTGATGAAGGTGCATCACAGCTTTTCAGCATGACAGAGGTAGCTACAGCCTCCTCCCAGCTCTGCTGTCACAGAAAGTTAATTAGTTGCTGCATCCGCACTATCAGAATCATCCTGAAAAGAGAAGACAAAGCATCAGTCATTGCTATGGTAACCTTCAATGATGCTGTTCACACACCCCCACACCCCTACCCCACCCCACCCCTGCTCTCATAAAATCCTAAGTCACAAATCTTAGGAAGCTAAGACCAAAGGAGTCTAACTTTGGATAATGAGTTGAACCACCAGGAATTTCAAGCGGAGTTATTGTTCTTTAAAGCAGCAAAGACACTCATCAGAGCCAGGTCTGTTCTAAGATGGGGAGGAGGAAGGGGGAGGCTGAAAGAACACTCAACCTCATGTGTGAAATGGTGTGAAATGCAGACTTGGTTAACGCAAAGAACTACTGTGTGCTAAAGAATGGAATACACATTCTTTTTGTTTGTTTGTTTTGTTTTGTTGTTTTTCGAGATAAGGTTTCTCTGTAGCTTTGGAGCCTGTCTTGGAACTAGCTCTTGTAGACAAGGTTGGCCTCAAACTCACAGAGATTCACCTGCCTCTGCCTCCTGAGTGCTGGGATTAAAGGTGGCTGGAATACACATTCTTACATGTTTGTGTTACTTTTTCTATTCCTTTTTGGAGGGTGGGCCTCCTGCATGGTGGGAAAGCATTCATCCATTGAGCTATATCCAACTCTAATGTGTCATTTGTAAAGGCTAAGAGGAAACCAAAAGATCTAGGAAAGGCATTACTTACGTCTAGATCATCCATGGCAGGCGGAGGTCTCTTGGTGCTGACCTTGTTTAAAAGCTATGGGAAGAGAGACGCAGTCATGAGAGATGAGAGAAAAGAAGTCTGAATATTAGTAGAGACAGGAGAATACCCCCAGACCCAGCCATTAATCGGAGAGAAGTCAATTGATATTCTTCTATGTCTCTTTCTTTTCTTTCTTTCTTTCTTTCTTTCTTTTTTTTTTGAGATGATTCCCTTTCTTAAAAGTTAATGGCAGGGGCTGGAGAGATGGCTCAGAGGTTAAGAATACTACCTGCTCTTCCAAAGGTCCTGAGTTCAATTCCCAACAACCACATGGTGACTCAAAATCACCTAAGGTCTGGTGCCCTCTTCTGGCCTGAAAAGCATACAGGCAGGCAGAACACTGCATGCATAATAAATAAATAAATCTTAAAAAAAGAAGTTAATGGCAGTGGGGGGCAACTGGAGAAATGGCTCAGAGGTTAAGATCACTGACTGTTCTTCCACTGGTCCTAAGTTAATTCCCAGCAACCACATAGTGGCTCACAACCATCTGTAATGAGATCTGGTGCCAACACTGTAGACATAATAAATAAATAAGTAAATTTTAAAAATTAATTCTGAGACGGGGGGGGGCTGGAGATACGGCTCAACAGTTAAAAGCACTTCTTACTCCTGAAGAGGACCTGAGTTTGGTTTCTAGCACATGCATAGTAACTGACAACAGTTAATCTCAGGCTGGGTATGTTGGTAACTTGCTTACATCTGATACTAGAATTTAAAAAGTGGAGGCAGGAAGATCAGGAGTTCAAGGCCAGCCTCAGTTCACTACCTAGGAAGTTTTCAAGGCCAGTCTTGCTACCTGAGACCCTGTATCAAAAGGGCCAGGGCCTGGAGGGATGGCTCAGTGGTTAAGAGCATTTACTGCTTGAAACCAGGTTCAGTTCCCAGCACCCAAATCAAGCAGTTACTGCTCTCTGACCTCCTCTGGCACCCACATTCACATGGGACATATAAACTCACCAGAGCACACATACATACACATGATAAATTCAAAACCAAAATACCAAACAAACCAAGATGAAAATGACTGAAAATACTTATTTAAGGTGGGTGTGGTATCACAGGCCTATAATCCCAGTACTCATAGGCTGAGGCAGGAGGATTGAAAGTTCAAGATCAGCTTCAGTTACATAAGTAGACCCTGCTGGGTGGTGGAATCGAACACCTTTAATCCCAGCATCGTGAAGGCAGAGGCACACAGATTTCTGTGAGTTCAAGACCAGCCTGGTCTACAAGAGTTACAGGTCAGCTTCAGTTACACATAGAAACCTAGTCTCAAAAAAAAAAAAGAAAGAAAGAGAGAGAGAGAGAGAGAGAGAGAGAGAGATATCCTGTCTCACAAAAGAAAAAGAAATCAATTTAAACATATTCAGAAAGCACCCTCCTTATCTATTTAAGTGGGGGGTTTGCTAGTCCTTTTATAATTGAACTAAGGAGTTTCTGGTCTTCTAAAACTAAATCACACATGGCAGGTGTTGTTTATCAGGAAGAAGTGATTTATAGTATGAATTTTATACTGGCTGGTATTAGATTCCCATGAACTTTTCTAGGTTAGGAAAAGAAAGAAAAACACAAAGAATCATAGATGAGAACAGTAATTATAGCCTGGCGGTGGTGGCACATTCCTTCAGTCCCAGCACACATACACACACACACAGAGAGAGAGAGAGAGAGAGAGAGGGAAAGAGTTATTAGGTATTAGGGCTGGAGAGATGGCTCAGCCCTTAAAGGCTAGGCTCACAACCAAAAACCTTTTACAGAATGCAGGTACTACTCTGCAAACAGCAAGTGAATTTGTGTGAAATTTTATTAATATGGGCCGGCAAGATGGCTCAGTATCAATAGGCATCTGCTGCCACGCCTGATTACATGAGTTCAATCCCCGTGACCTACACATTAGAAATAGAAAACAGACTCCCAAAGGTTGTCTTCTGACCTCCACAGGGGTTCTATGACATGTGTGCACCTGCTCCTCCAAAATAAACAAACAAAATGTATTAAGTTTTTTGTCTGTTTTGTTTTGTTTTTTGAGACAGGATTTCTCTGTGTAACAGTCCTGGCTGTCCTGGAACTCACTATGTAGACCAGACTGGCCTCTAACTCACAGACATGCACCTGCCTCTGCCTTTCAAGTGCTGGAACTAAAGGTGTGCGCCAGTCCTGGAACTTGCTCTTGTAGACCAGGCTGGCCTCGAACTCACAGAGATCTGCCTGCCTCTGCCTCCTGAGTGCTGGGATTAAAGGCTGCGCCACCACCGCCAGGCTTAAGGCCTTCTTTTAAAGACGGCTCGACAGCTAGGAGCACCTGCTTCTCTCCCTGACGATTCAAATTTTGTTCCCAACTCCCATGGGCCGACAATTCACAACCACCTGTAACTTCAGCCTCAAGTGATCTAACACATGCATACACAAAAATAAAAATAACAACACTGGGCATAGTGGAACACACCTTTAATCCTATACTCTTAATTGGGAGATGGGGGGAAAGGGCATATCTGTGAGTTTCACACTGGTCTATATATAGCAAGTTCCAAACCACCCAGAGCTACATAGTTAAGATCTTTTCTCAAAAATAAACAAATGAAATAATAAATTTTTATTTTTCTCTTTTAAATTTCACTAATACTTACTGCTCTTATTTCTGCTAAATAAACAACAAATAAAATATACAGCATATCAGCACCAGGGAGTGGCCTGCTTAGGGAGTTTCAATAGCCCTGCCCGGCCCTGATGATTCCCCAGTCGGCTTAGTGCAGACAGACACAGTACCGAGATGGGCTGCAGGGAGCTGTGCCTCCTACCTCTGCATAATGCTCCACCTGAGCCAGTTCCACCTCGTCATCTCCTTCCCAGTCTCTCCAGTTATCAAAGTCCACAGAGAGCCACACGGGCTGCAAGAGGAAGCATAGGTGTCACAGGCAGGAAGGACAGAAGCACGAAAACATGAACTACTTAGTGCCAAACACAGCCAAGAACAGGAAAAAGCACAGAGTTCTCTCCTCCAAGGGCTGATGGACAGGCAACTCAGCATCCTAGAACTCAACCAAGCAGGACAGATAAGCTGTACTTCCTGGAGCCAGAGGCAGCCCTTTGTTGTGGGGTATTTGTACACTGTGGGAAAATGTATTGCTGTGGTTGGTGTAATAAAAAGCTCAACAGCCCAAAGCTAGGCAGCAGGTATAGGCGGGACTTCTGAGCCGAGAGGACTCTGGGAAAAAGAAGGCAGAGTCACTGGTCAGCCTTGAAGGAAGCAGCTTGGCATCGCCCAGAGATGAGGTAACGAACCACGTGACAGGATAGAATTTAAAGCAAATGGGTTAATTTAAGTTATAAGAGCTAGTGGGAAAAACCTAAGCTAAGGCCTAGCTTTCATAATTAATTTTTTAAAAAGATTTATTTATTTGTCTGTTTGTTCATTAAGTATGCTGTGTTCTGCCTGTATGTCTGCCTGCAGGCCAGAAGAGAGCACCAGATTTCATTACAGATGGTTGTGAACCATTATGTGGCTGCTGGGAATTGAACTCAGGACCTCTGGAAGAGCAGCCAGTGCTCTTAACTGCTAAGCCATCTCTCCAGTTTGGTTTTTTTTTCTTTTTTTTAAGATTTATTTGTTTATTATGTATACAGTTTTCTGTCTGCATGTATGTCTGCAGGCCAGAAGAGGGTACCAGCTTTCATTACAGATGGTTGTGAGCCACCATGGGAATTGAACTCAGGCCCTCTGGAAGAGCAGTCAGTGCTCTTAACTGCTGAGATATCTCTTCAGTTTTTATTGTTTTAGCTTTCATAATTAATAATAAGTCTCCATGTCATTGTTTGTGAGCTGACTTCTCAAAGAAAAATATGACTATAAATAGTGAGGACCAGGGTGCTGGAGAGATGGCTCAGAGGTTAAGAGCATTGCCTGTTCTTCCAAAGGTCCTGAGTTCAATTCCCAGGAACCACATGGTGGCTCACAATCATCTGTAATGGGGTCTGGTGCCCTCTTCTGGCCTGCAGGCATACACACAAACAGAATATTGTATACATAATAAATAAATAAATATAAAAAAAATAGTGAGGGCCATATTCCAAAGTGCCCACAGTTAAAGCCAGGTGTAATGCTGTAGCCAATCATGCCAGCATTTTTTAGGTGAAGTCTAGAGAACCAGGGGTTCAAGATCATCCTTAGCTATATAGCAAAATAAAGTTCAGCCTAAGCTACACGAGTCCCTGTCTCAAGAGAAAATTGAATATTCATACATAGACATTTAAAATAATTTTTTATTTTTGTTGGGGGGTGTAGCTTTTTTTTTAACTCTTTGCTCTTTGGAGACCCGCCACCCAGCTCCCTCCCAAATAAATAAGCAGAGACTTATTCTTACTTTTGAATGCCCAGCCTTATCTTGGCTTATTTCTAGCCAGATTTTCTTAAATTATCCTGTCTACCTTTGGCCTCTGAGCTTTTATCTTTCTCTATTTCTGTATATTTTTCTTTCCTTCTTATTTCATGTCTTGTTGCGTGTCTGAGTGAATGGCCCTTGGCATCCTCCTTTTCATGTCCTTCTCCTTCTATTTGTTCTTTCTGCATGCCAGTCCCACCTGTTCTTTCTCCTGCCTAGCTATTAGCCATACAGTTCTTTATTAGACCAATCAGGTGTTTTAGGCAGGCAAAGTATCACAGCTTCTCAGGGTTAAACAAATGCAACATAAAGAATGCAATCCATCTTTGCATCATTAAACAAATATTCCAGAGCATAAACAAATGTAACACATCTTTAACTAATATTCTGTACCCGGGGGGTGGGGGGTGTTTTATTGTTGTTTTGTTGTTGTTTATGTTTGTTTGTGTTCAAGGCCTAGAACTACACTAGAAACCAGTGTAGCCTCAAACTCACAGAGATCCATCTGCCTCAGCCTCATCCTCATGTAGGGATTAAAGGTTTGTACCACCACACCTGGCCATATTTTGTCTGACCCGATGTCTGTGCACCAAGCTCCTGCCTGGTGCCCATGGAGGCCAAAAAGGGTGTTAAATCTTCTGGAACTAGAGTTACAAACAATTCTATTCTGAGATACCATGAGCTAGAAGTTGAACCTGGGTCCTCTGGATGAGTAGCTTAAAAACTGAACCATCTCTCCAGTCCCATGACTTACAATAAAAATGTTCAAATCGCATTTATATATTTATGTATTTATTTATGATTTACTTACAGGGAGGGACATGTCACTACACACAAATGGATGTAACACTTTTGAGAGTTGGTTCTCTCCTTCCACCATGTGGTACCTGGGCCTCAAACTCAGATCCTCAGGAGCAAGCACAGCTGTCTGCTGAGCCATCTCTCCAGCCCCTACAATCTACATTTCTTAATGTCTGCAAACAATCAAAAATTGTGCATTGTGCATGTTTCCAGGACAGGATCCAAAGCTAAAGCTACAAAGAGAAACCCTGTCTCGAAAAGCTAAAAAAAAAAAAAAAAAAAAAAAAGCCAGGCAGTGGTGGTGCATGCTTTTAATCCCAGCACTCAGGAGGCAGATGCAGGTGGATCTCTGTGAGCTTGAGACCAGCCTAGTCTACAGAGTGAGTTCCAGGACAGCTAAGGTTATTACACAGAGAAACCCTGCCTCAGAAAAGAAAAACTATGAATGTTAGCTGGATGGTGGTGGTGCACACCTTTAATCCCAACACTTGTAAAGTAGAAGCAGGTGAATCTCAGTGAGTTCAAGGCCAGCCTGGTCTAAAGAGGACAGGCTCCAAAGCTACAGAGAAACCCTGTCTCAAAAAAACCAACAAAAAAATTGTGAATGTCAGTAGCCAGTCAAAATATTTTTTAAGATTTATTTGTTTTGTGTATGAATGTTTTCTCTGCATGTATGTATGTGTACCATGTGCCCATGAAAGTCAGAAGGAAGTGTTGACTCCCCTGGAACTGGATTTACAGATGGTTGTGAGTCACCATATAGAGCTGCAAATTGAAATCAGGTTCTCCTAGAGCAATCAGTGCTCTTAACCACTAAGCCACTTCTCCAGCCCCTCGAAATATTTTGTTGTTATTGTTTCTCGAGACAGGGTTTCTCTATGTAGCTCTGGCTGTCCTGGAACTCTCTCTGTAGATCAGGCTGGCCTTGAACTCACAGAGATCCACCTGCTTCTGCCTCCTGAGTCCTGGGACTAAAAGTGTGTGCCGCCACTGCCAGGCTCAAAATAACTTTTTTAACTGTGAAGAAAACTACTAAAATAAATGTAAAAGCCAGATTCAGCCAGCAGGTGGCCAACTTTCAGCTTTTGGAAGAGGGAAGAGTGTGGAGAGTCTCAAGTGCAAGACTGACAAATCAATGCATGCTTAACAGACCACCCTGGGAGCAATGGAAAGGGTGGGTGAAAGATGGGACAGAAAATATACAGCAGACTCCCAACAAAGTCAGGCGAAAAAGTCCATACCCGTAACGTCAACATTTAGGATGCTGAGACAGAAGGATGGCAAGTTCAGGGCCAGCCTTAGCTACACAGATATAGCCTGTCTCAAAAACACAAACACAAAGAGAAAAAAAAGACCAGAAAACAAAAACCCAAAATCCAGAAAAAAAGAACTCTTCCCCCAATGAACTCTGATAGATGCAGTCTAGACTGAGAGGAAATATATAAATTTCAGAATATTTGGGAGATGAAATATACAGGACCCAGGTGACTCACTGAATACTGACTTGAAGGAAGGCAAACCTGAATCCAGATGTGAGTTTGGTGCCTGGGTACGTAGAGAGAGCACACGGATAAAGGGCACAGAAGGCGCAGACCACGCCCCACACACTCACCTTGATATCCTCCTTGGTGAGCCGTGGCCAGGCCACCTTCTCCTTCCATTTCCTCACAAAGCAAGTGATAGAGCGACCAGAGCGCTTGTCCTGGGAGTCCTGTCAGACAGACAGCCTCGTTCTTAGAGGCGGTTTTAGCATAAACCCCCAGTTTCCTTGCTTGGCCGGCCTGTCTGTCCAGGCCTGACTATTGTCACCCTGCCCTCACCTTGGAGTTCACCTTGGCATAGAACTCAATCTCATTGTACAGCTCCACTCCATCACCGTTCCTGCAGCTAAAGAGACGGTAAAGTTGAGACATAGGAAGAGTGAGGGGACAATCCGGACACTACGCCCTTCCAGAGAAGGCCACTACCTGAACACAATGCGGTGATCCTCAATGAGCACCTTCACGTCGGTGCTGTCCTCAACACAAAACTCCATGAAAACATATTTGGGTCTGTCGTACCACAGGGTCCGGGCGGGCTGCCTGAGGAGAGCGGAGGTGGGGCTTGGAAAAGTCTGAAGGCAATAAGGAGAGGCGGAGGAGAAGACAACAGAGTCGAATGTGGTGCCACTGAACCAGATGGAGGGGAGTGGGTGGAGTGGGTGGGTGGTGAGAATAAACGAGGAAAGACAGGGGAAGGAAGGAGTTAGGAGGTATATTCAGAGCACACCACCGCTCTCACCCACAGCTACAGAGACCCGGAGTCCAGCGCTTCGGAGGATCCGGGCAGAATCAGCAGCCTCTACAAGATGCGGGACAAGGAGTCTGCAGGGAGAGGGGCAAGGGACTAGGATCTGTACGATGGCGGCCTGAAACTCACCGTTCCATAGTGACTCCAGCTGCCCTGTGGGTTTTGGAGTCCCAGGCAAGGGCCTCTATCTTTAGATCCTAGGGACGCCCCTAGCAGCTGCCTCTCCTTATATGGCAGGGGTAAGGGTTGAGAGCAAGGGAAAGGTGGCTTGACAGCAAAAGTGATCTGCATTCCAGAGGGACTCTGGGAGCGTTTACTGCATCCCTTCACCTCTCGGGGTCTCCAGAAATATACGGATCAGGGATATATTTTCCCTCCATGGCCAGGGAAAGGGCTACCCTAGACACTGTATGCAGGAAATCACTTGTCCTCGGCCTCCTTCATTTGTTTTCCAATGCAAAGTACTCGTGTGTCCAATTCACAAAATGCACTAAAGAAGTTTCCAGAGGGCGGGTCCTCGGGAGACGGGAGGCGTGCAGACCCCGCCCACCGCCCTTCCAGGCTTCCCTGCCAGCGCCCGTTGTCATGGCAGCAAGGGGGCACGAATGACGTGCGGCGGCGTTTCCGGGAAGATGGCGGCGGTGGAAGTGGCTACGGAGCTGGCAACTGGGGTGACGGCCTTCGAGCCAAAGGCGAAGGATGCAGAAGAGGAAGAGGAGGAGGAGGAGTCGCTGCCACCGTGCGAGGCAGTGCGCTGGGCCCCAGTGGGGGCGGTGGCCGAGGCCGGGCCTGGGGCGGCCGCCTTCTCGGAGGTGACGGCAGCCGAGGACCCTGGAGCGGCTCCGGGCTCTCCTCCGGACGCGACCGTCCGCACGCTGCGGCGACTGCAAGCCGAGCGGCGGCAGCTGGACTCGGCCCTGCTCGCGCTGTCCTCGCACTTCGCGCAGGTGCAGTTCCGCCTGCGCCAGGTAGTGCGCGGGGCGCCGGCGGAGCAGCAGCGTCTCCTGCGCGAGCTCGAAGACTTCGCCTTCCGCGGCTGTCCTCACGTCCTGGGTTACGAGGGGCTGGAAGACCCCTGCGGCGGCGGCGACGAAGGCGATGGGCTTCCGGGGGACCGGCCACGATTGCGGGGCGAGGACCAGGTGAGCGTCTGGGGCTGTGTCCGACCGAGGATGGGGCAGGTAGGGCATATGTGGGTGGTGATGCAGACGCGACCGAGGCAGAAGGGGTGAGGAGCGAGCTAGCTGGATGGATTATAGGTACGTGAATGCAAGATACAGACACTGGAGACAGGAAGATGCAGAAAGATACACGGCGAGCACTGAAAAGGAGTGGTAATGGGAGCAGTGCTTCCTCCGTCGTCTACCTTGCCCACGCCTTAAGGTACTTGAGTGTGTATGTGTGTCACACGCTCTACCATAAGATTTGTCTCCAGCCTGTGCAAAACGGGAGAGGTGGCAAGTGACTTGGAATCCATGGAAATTTAAATTTAACGCCCCCCCTCCCGGGCTTTTTTGGCATGTACATAGGCTGTACTGTTTATGCTGTCCTAGCTCAGTGAGAGGTTTGGTAAATAGACACCGCCTCTTGGAACTGGAAGGAAACACACCTCCTGATTAAAAGGAATTCCTAGCAATGTCTTCAAACTGCGCTGCCATCCTGCTTAATAACGGGGTTCTCTGAATGGAGCCTCTGGCTGACGAGTGCATTCTTCAGTACACTGAAGAAGCAATGAAGTTCTGTAAACCAAAACAAGGGAAGGTTCCTTACAAACTCAGCACCTCTGGAAGCTAGGAGTGTGGAGGCAAGCTGCCTTTCTCTTTCATAGTCTGCAGATTACAGTCCACATATGACTTTCTTCTTGCTGAAAGTGGCTTTTGCCAGGAAAACTTATCGGTAGCTGGCATTGACTTGTTAATCTGAACTGTTTCCAGCCCCTTCTTTCTCATACTCATATCTCTGTGCCCAAGGAGCAGTCAGCTGTTAGGTCACCGGACTTACAAAGTTAGGAGTTCGAGGCCACCCTGGTCTATAAAGTGAGTTCCAGGACACTCACCAAAGCTACACAGAGAAACCCTGTCTGGGGGAAAAAAGAAAGTTAGAATAGATAGAATTGCTTGTAGCCAGGCCCAGTTCAGTAGTGAACAACATGAGAGGTTCTATGCAGACATGATATTTTGTTTTGTTTTTTCGAGACAAGGTTTCTCTGTGTAGCCCTGACTGTTCTAGAACTTGCTCTGTAGACCAGGCTACCCTCTAACTCAGAGATCTGTTTAACTCTACCTCCCAAGTGCTGGGATTAAGGCATGCACCACTACTGGCATGCTTTTTTAAGGCAGGGTCGCTAGCTAAAGCTATCTTTGAACTTGCTATAGAATAATCTTGTGGTATTTTGTTTTAAATATATGTGAGTGGTGAGTGTGTGTGCAGGAGCACAGTGCTGGTGTAACAGCCTGTGTGTGTGTGTGTGTGTGTGTGTGTGTAGGAGCACAGTGCTGGTGTAACAGCCCATGTGTGTGTGCAGGAGCACAGTGCTGGTGTAACAGCCCGTGTGTGTGTGCAGGAGCACAGTGCTGGTGTAACAGCCCGTATGTGTGTGCAGGAGCACAGTGCTGGTGTAACAGCCCGTGTGTGCAGGTCTGAGGACAACTTGCAAGGGTTAGCTCTCTCTCCTTGGAATGTGAGATCTGGAAATCTCACAGGGCATCCGGCTCAGTGTTCCTTACCTTGAATTTCTCATCTTTCTGCCTCCACCTCTGAATACTGAGATTACAGGCATGGGGACCATACCAAGTTATCCAGTGCTTGGCTCTGAACCCAGCATCTAGTGCATGTTAGGCAGGCACTCCACCAATGTAGCTATATCCCAAGCTCTCCAAATTACCTTAAACTTTATCTCAGTTTATACTGGAAGTTAAATCCATTATTTCCTGCATTACCCCAGAACGTATTGTTCTCTCTGTTAAATTTGTTTGCTCAGCTCCAGCAAATATGCTGTAACTACGACAGCAAGTGTCAGACTTTGGCAGATGTAGTCATGGAAACAAATCATCAGGATTTATAGCTGGTTTCTTTCTTCCTTGACTTCACAAAGGCATGACAAAGATGAACTATTTCTTCATTTCTTTTTTATTTAGCTGATTAGATAACATCCTCCAGCCAGAGTTCATTATTTGGAATTTGTTACTGTGTATCCAATTTACTCCAAAAACATATAAGAAATATGTACTGAGGGCTAGAGAGATGGCTCAGCAGTTAAGAGCACTGACTGCTCTTGCAGATAACCCAGGTTTGATTCCCAGCAACAACGTAACAGCCCACAGCTGTCTATAAATTCTATTCCAAAGGATTAGACTCCCTCCTCTGACCTCTGTGGACACCAGGCACTCACATGGTTCACAGACATGCATGTGGGCAAAACATCCATAAACATAAAATAAAATTTAAAAAACATTTTTTTTTAAGAAAGAAAGGAAATACGTACTGAGAATTCACCTCATATTGGGCACAGTTCTAGGTGTGTTGTTCTAGGTGTGTTGGGGTTGGAAGTCAAGGCCTTTGCCCATCAGGAGTTGACAGATTAGTAGAAGCAGGTCCTAAGCAAATACTGTAATGAGTAAGTGTACACAGAACAGAGGAAGAGTTGACTGTTCTGCCTGGAGACAGGCAGGGAAAGTGTTCTGCGGAGACCTAGTTACTGAGCTGGGAAAGAATGGGCTCTGAGAAAAAGCAGGAAGACTCAGGAAGGATCGGACATTGCTGTCATGTTCAGTAAAGCTAAAGAAAGGGGATTGCTTTTTAAGAAGTTGAACAAAAAGTTAATTCTCTGTTTTTCATCTGTTCTCTCTCATATCTTGCTTCTTGAGGGCTTGGTAAGTACCGCTTTAAGGTTGAGTTTAATACTGTGTAAATCCTAGTTTAAAATGCAGCTTTATGCCTACAAATGATTTACTGCCTCTGCTCCTTTGTTGTTTGTTTGTTTGTTTGGTTGATTGTTTTTTTTCAGTGATGGTTGTTAAGACAGAGTCTGTGTATGTAGTCCAGCCCAGCATGAAACTCACTGTACAGGTGTACACTGTCATGTCTGGCTTGCTTTCTTGTTTTGTTTAGGATTTGTACTCAGAAATGATGGAGACCCAGTATCTAAGAATATATTGTCAAGACTTGATCACTTTATGTAAAGGGCTTTTAAAAACTTAAAGACAGAAGCTACATGGTAACTGCCATGAAAAGGGGGTTGTCCTCAGAGAAACCTACCCCACGCATGCCCACACACCACACTGTTACCTCCTACCCCTGTGACTTGGCTTCTGCATATTTGTGCCTTAGGCACTTCATATCATTGTTTCTCCTTTTACAGAAATAGCTATAACTTTTCCAAGTAGCTTTGAAAGTTAAGAAAGCTGATTGATTTCTCTCTACATAAAACCTTTCTCTATACTCAGATTCCCAGGCTTTGATTTTTGAGATGGGGTCTCATGAAGCCCCGCCTAGCCTCAGACTAGCTATCTAGTTCATGCTGTGGGACAGTGGTCTTTTATCCTGTCACTTGTATTACTTTTAATAAAATGCTGATTGGCCAGTAGCCAGGCAGGAATTATAGATATAGGCAGGGCAACAGCAACCAGGCAGGAAATAGAGGGTGACAACAAGAATTATGGGAAGAGGAAAGTTTCAGTCTGCAGTTATCACCCAAACACAGAGGAAGCCAGATACAGAGCAAGCAAGATGTGACTGCCTCGCCGAAAAGGTACCACGCCACATGGCTAACACAGACAAGAATTATGGGCTAATAAAAGTTATAAGAGTTAATAAGAAGCCTGAGATAATAGGCCAATAAGTTTATAATAATGTAGACCTCTTTGTGTTTTCTTTGGGGCTGAATGACTGAAGGACCGGTGGGACAAAAACCTCACTCAACAAGTTCATGCTGGATTTGAATTTCTGATCCTTGAGTCTTCACAAGCCATCATACCAGGTTCACACACACACACACACCCCGGCTGTTTGCAAAATCGGTTAGCAAAGAGTTGTGAGCAGTTACACTGTGTTAACTGGCCATGAAGATGACAGCTTTAACTCCAGGAGGCCATCTTACCTAAGTTTTCTCCTCTGAGTATACCTTTGAAAAACAAGCCTATTAACAGAAGGCTTCCTTGTGTTTATATCCTGTTTCCAATGAAGGGTAATCACTTCTTAGAAAACACACATGTAGGACTATGACGGTACTCGTCTTTAATTCCAGCACTTGGGAAACAGGATGCAGATTGATCTTTGAGTTTGAGGCCAGCCAGGGCTCAAAAGAAGGAGAAAACACACACATAATTAATTGCTCTGGGTGAAGTATATTCTTACTGGTGAACTTGCTTTGTCAATTATCCTATCGACTCATTTGGGACCATTATATATTTTTCTGGTCATTATTGGCCTGAGAGTCTTAAAGTGCCTTTGATTTCTCTTTTCTGTGAAATAGACCCAAGTGTTTTTCTCTTCATAGAGTGAGCAGGAAAAACGAGAGCGTCTGGAAACCCAGAGGGAGAAGCAGAAAGAACTGATTCTGCAGCTCAAGACCCAGCTTGATGACCTGGAAACCTTTGCTTATCAGGAGGGCAGCTATGACTCCCTGCCGCAGTCCGTGGTCTTGGAAAGACAGCGGGTGAGCAGACCTCAGAGGCGACTGCAGCATTTCTTATGGCTAATGTATCCCTGCTGGTGGTATTCCAGCATAGTCCCCCATTGCATTTCTCTCATGGCCTTACCAAGAACCCCAGGTCCAAATCAGAGAGAAAGTTTACTGTTTCCTGGAACCTCTCTCTCTTTCTTATTCCCTTCCTTCCAAAGGTCCTTTACCATTTGTTTTCATCAATAGCACACACAATAGAAACACACATATTCACTTGGAAGCCTTTAGAGATAGCAAATATGAAGCTTTTGGGATTTTATTTCTTTTTATTTTATGTATAAGAGTGCTTTGCCTACATACACGTTTTTGTACCATGTGCATGAAGTGCCTGTGGAAGCCAGGAGGTGGCAGGCCCTCAGAAGTGGAGTCACAAAGGTTGTGAGCTGCTGTGTGGGTGCTGGGAACCCAACCCCAGTCCTCTGGAAGAGTGCTGGTACTCTTAACTGCTGACCCATCTCTCCAGCCCAAATATGACTCTGTTGGATCTTTAGCCACCTTGAATCATTCACCCTGTTCTAATGGGTGAAAGTTGTCTGACCTGATAAGTTCTCAGTGCATGAGAGGTACCATTGCTGATTGAAGGAATTGTGTGTTGTTTTGTTTTGTCGTTTGCTTGGTTGTTAGGTTGTTTGATTGGTTGGTTTTTCGAGACAGTGTTTCTCCGTGGGATTCGCTTTGTAGACCAGGCTGGCCTTGAACTCCCAGAGATCCACCTGCCTCTGCCTTCTGAATGCTGGAATTAAAGGTGTGCGCCACCACCACCCAGCTTGTTTTTTTGAGACAGTTCTCATATAGCATAGGCTGGCCTCTTAACATGCTGTATAGGCCACCACTGCCCAGCCTCATCTTTCTTTTTAAATTATTGTATAAGTGTGGGTGCAGACATGCCACAGCACAGTTCTCTCCTTCCACCTTTTTGTAGGTCCTGAGCATCTGACTGGGGTTACTAGGCTTATATATATAACAAGTGCTTTTATCTGCTGAACCATCTCTAAGGCCCTGTCCTAATCTTAATCAGCAAGCTATGCCACTTTCTCCTGAAGTCAAAGATGCATGCGGTTTTTATTTATGTTTGAGCATAGAAACCTGGCTGGCATTCTCCTCCCTAGGCCTCCTTGAGACCTGCAGAGGGTATACTCATTGCTGTGGTCTTGATAGGTGATCATCGATGAGTTAATAAAGAAACTGGACATGAATCTGAATGAGGACATCAGTTCCCTGTCAACCGAGGAACTTCGTCAGCGTGTGGATGCGGCCGTGGCTCAGATTGTCAACCCAGCTCGGGTAAAAGAACAGTTGGTTGAGCAACTGAAGACCCAGATCCGAGACCTGGAGATGTTCATCAGCTTCATCCAAGGTCAGAGGAGCATCTTGGGTGGAGGAAGCGGGAACAATGTGGTAGTTCTGTGTGGTCTGAGAACTCATCTGAAGGGGCCAGTGCCAGTTCTCATGTGTTTAAGAGAACTTCAGAGACTTGAAGTGGGTGTGGTGCTCCACGCCTTAAGTCTCAAGTGCAGAGAGACAGAGGCTGACAGATGTCTGAGTTAGAGACCAGCCTGTTAAATAGAATGAGTTCCAAGCTAGCCTGCATAACAAGGCCCCTTGTGTATGCCGCAGTAGAATGGAAAGAACATTGTCTAGAAGCTTGTCTTTCAGGCCCACTGCTGGCCTCGTGTCCCTGAGCAGATTCCTCCCCTCTTAGCTCACTCTCTTCACTGGGGATGACTCATTCTTCACTTGCTAAACTAATATTTACTGGGCTAACTATGCTGTACCAGGCATCTTTCACACAGTGAAACACAATTTATGAAGTTCTGGTCATAGAGTAGGCACGATTAACTGTTCCTTTTCCCTCTAAAAATCTTCTAGAAAGAGGGTAAGTAAGTGTCTTGGTTTTGTAACTTCTGATGACAGATGAAGTGGGAAGCCCCTTGCAGACAGGTGGACACTGTGAGTGCAAGGCCAGCGGGAGGACAGGAACCAGCTCCACCAGAACGGGCAGCAGCACACAGCCCCCAGGAGCCAGCAAAAGTAAGTACAGCCCCTAGAATGCACAGGCTACAGATGCCAAAAGTGGGAGGTAGAAGCAGGATTGGAAGTTGAAAGCCAATCTGGACTACACATCGAGATTCTGTCTGGCAAAAAGAAAGGACGGTGAGATTGGCTAGGCAGGCAATGGTGCTTGCTGCCAAGGCTGAGGACATGTGTTGGAGCTCCAGGATTATTACATGGTAGGAGAAATGATTCCTTCTGGTTGTTCTCTGACCTTATGAGCATTTACACATTTGCATGTATGTGCACACAGACAAAAGTTTAATGAATGAATGATTGCTTGGGTCTTAGAAAGAAATGGGGAAGAGGAAATAATGGTACACAGTGTCTTTGGAGCATGATAAAAATATTTTAATATGAATTGTGATGGTGTATGTACCATTCTTTTTTTTTTTTTTTTTCTTTTTCTTTTTCTGAGACAGGGTTTCTCTGTGAAACAGTCCTGGCTGTCCTGAAACTCACTTTGTAGACCAAGCTGGCTTCAAACTCACAAAGATCTGCTTGCTTCTGCCTCCCAAGTGCTGGGATTAAAGGTGTGCACCACCACTGCCCAACTGTGTATGTACAGTTCTTAAGTATAATTTTTAAAAACAACCAGACCGGATTAGAGAGATGGCTCAGCGATTAAGAGCACTGACTGCCCTTCCAGAGGTCCTGAGTTCAATTCCCAGCAACTACATGGTGGCTCACAACCATCTGTAATGAGATCTGTTGCCCTCTTCTGGCATGCAAGCATACATGCAGACAGAACACTGTATATATAATAAATAAATAAGATCTTTAAAAAACAAACAAACAAACAAAACCAAAATAGCCAGGCAGTGGTGGGGCACACCTTTAATCCTAGCACTCAGGAGACAGAGGCAGGCGGATCTCTGTGAGTTCGAGGCCAGCCTGATCTACAAGAGCTAATTCCAGGACAGGCTCCAAAGCTACAGAGAAACCCTGTCTCAAAAAAAAAAAAACAAAACAAAAAACCCAAAACAACCAGACCTGGGAGATGTAGTTAGTATATGCTTAACATGGATGGAGTAGTAGAATTTAGATTTAATCCTGAGCACCAAAAAGCGAAACAAAAAGAAGCCGAGAATGGTGGCATGTACTTGTAATACTACCACTGGAGAAACTGAGGCAGGAAGATAGAGCTTGAGGCCAATCATGACATGATGGTGCCAGCTATGGGGAGGCTGAGAGGTGATGACTGCCGTGGTAGCAAGATCCTGGGTGGAAAAAACCAGCCTCAGTTATATACTAGAAATAGATGTCTGCACAGCGTCTCAATTATAGTTAGTATCATCAGCCAAAAATAAGTCAGTCCAGCTACATCCCTGACTTCATGTGGCACCTGTGCTGTGGCTTAGAACAAAGCTTGTTCTCAGCTGTAATTTGTTGAATGTTCTGATCCCTTTCTAATGAATCACTGTTTTCTAAGCAGCAAAGGCAGAAGACGTGAAGAGAGTCCGGGAAACGGGGCTGCACCTGATGCGCCGAGCACTGGCTGTGCTCCAGATCTTCGCTGTTAGCCAGCTGGGCTGTGCCACAGGCCAGATCCCTCAAACCTTGTGGCAGAGGGGCCAGGCAGACAGAGACTACTCCCCCTTACTGAAAAGGCTGGAAGTGTCCGTAGAGAGAGTGAAGCAGCTGGCCTTGAGACATCAGCCACATGACCACGTCATTACTTCAGCCAACCTCCAGGACCTCTCTCTAGGAGGCAAGGATGAGCTGACCATGGCCGTGCGGAAGGAGCTGACCGTGGCTGTGCGGGACCTGCTGGCCCACGGGCTGTACGCCTCTTCCTCTGGGATGAGCCTTGTCATGGCCCCCATTGCCTGCTTGCTGCCAGCCTTCTCCTCAGCTCCTGAGACCATGCACCCCTGGGAGCTCTTTGTAAAGTACTATCATGCCAAGAATGGCCGTGCCTACGTGGAATCCCCGGCCCGGAAGCTCTCACAGTCCTTTGCCCTTCCTGTAATGGGTGGCAGTGCTGTGACCCCCAAGCAGAGCCTTCTGACAGCCATCCACCTGGTGCTGACAGAGCACGACCCTTTCAAGCGCAGTGCTGACTCGGAGCTGAAGGCGTTGGTGTGCATGGCGCTGAATGAGCAGCGCCTGGTGTCCTGGGTAAACCTCATCTGCAAATCAGGGTCCCTCATCGAGCCCCATTACCAGCCCTGGAGCTACATGGCCCATACAGGATTCGAGAGTGCCCTCAACTTGCTCAGCCGCCTCAGCAGCCTCAAGTTCAGCCTTCCTGTAGATCTGGCTGTGCGCCAGCTCAAGAACATCAAAGATGCCTTTTGATGAGAACCTTAGCCCCCCCTCCCCCATGCACACACCTTGCTCTGAAGAGATAGACGTCCTAGAGTTCTAGAGTACAAGCCGGGGAGTTAGACGAAGGGTAGAGACATTTTCCTTAAATCCTTTTTAGGTGGTCAGCCCAGTGGAGCCAAAGTCTGGTTTTCTCTTAGCAAAGTAGGAAGATGTGCCAGAGACTCACCAGAAATAGTGAGTGTCAGAGGCCCAAGAGATGGTTCGCCAGGTAAAGAGGCTTGCCGTCACACCTGGCAATCAATCTGAGTGATCCTGGGGACCCACATGGTACAAATTGTCTTCTTACCTCCACACATGAACTGTGGCACCTGTGTGTCCCTGCCCAAACACAAATTAATGTAATAAGAGAATCTAAAAAGCAGTGTCAGGGCTAGAGGTGTCGCTCAGTGGAACAGTAGGTGTGCAGTCAGGGCTGAGGGCGTTAAAGCAAGCAGAAAGTGCCCGCGGCCCCTAGCCCACCACAGTGCACCGTCCACTCTGTGGGAGCCTGCGTTAACAAACTCAGTTACCACACATAGCTAATGCCCAACTCACTGTAGCACGTCTGATTGTTAGAAAATGCAGGTTGGGCTCACCATTCTCTTCATGGCAGCAAGTCACTGTATGAGGGAGTTCTGGAAGACACTTGAGGCTCCTGCTAGTTAAGTTGGGAGCCTTCTTCAGAAGCAACTGTGAGAGCCCTAGGGCCAGAACTATAATTCCAGTCAGGGATTCGGATTCCCCTTTCTTCTAAGGGAGTTTTAACTGAGTGTGAGATGAGAACAGAGAGCTCCCTGCTGGGGTGCTCCTCCTACACAGACAGTGCTCCTCCCGGATGGCAGGTACTCTCTAGAGCCCCTCCAGGCTAACACAGTCTTCCGGAAGTGAGAGCATCCAACCAATCCTTGTCACAAGAACACATAGTACATAGGTGATGAGTGGCCCAGCCCCCTGGGTTGTGACGCGCCTGCTGGTACTGCTTGTCCAGAAGAACAGCTGATGGGGAAGTTTGATCTTGCAGTGTGCTCAGCAGCGGGGCCAGGAATTTCTACTATCTCCATACAGACCACACACACGCATCTGTCAAAGTGACCACTTGTCTTTCAGCTGCACTTTGTTCCTGTGGAGTACACTTCAATTTGTTTCAGTAACATGGCACTTAAGATGCATCATTGACACTTCACGGAAATCCATGGAGATTCCCTATGAAACACAATAGTGTTCGGGGCTTGGGATGCCGCTCCGTGGTAGAGTGCTTGCCTGGTGTGTCTGAGACCTTGTTTCTCAATCCTCAGCACCACTCCCCAGAAAAAAAAGAAAAAGATAATTGTAAAATATCTTAAATAATGATATATCTGTGATCAGTAATAAAATTACAGTATTTTGTGTAGCTTCTCTACAAAGCCCTCTGCTAAGTCTCTCTAGTGCTATCAGCCCATGAAATTAGGTCAGTGTTTCTTTAGGACCTGTCTATTTCCCTCTGCTCTGGATCGAGTTGGGATTTGGTGACAGTTTGGTCTGTATGTGTCCTGGTTCTGCCTGGTTTTATAGCAGCAACACTGCAGTGGGTGTTGTCACACATGCTGCTTCTGGAAATTGGCACTGTAAAGTCCACTCGGCAGGCTGTCAGTGTTCAGGGTGAGTGAGAGCTGGGGTGGGTATAGAGCATGAAATGAAATGAAAAGGAGCCATGGGGCTGGGCATGGTGGCACATGCCCATAAACCCAGCGTTCGGTAAAGGAAGAGCTCAGATTTGAAGCCAACCTAGGCCACGTAAACTTTCAAGAACACCACCAGAAAGAGTGTGATAGTTTAAAGCAGAGACAGGAATATTGCCACAAGCTTGAGGCTATCCTGGGACACATGAGACGTGAAGAAAAATAAAGGCCTGTGAGATGGGTCAGCAGGTAAAGGCACTTACCACCAAGTTTGATGGCTTCAGTTTTTTCCCTGGGTGGAAAGAACCAATTCATGCAAGTTGTCCTCTGACCGCCACACATGTGCCATGGCGTGTGCACACATACACATATACAAACTCATAAAGTAAATGTAACTTTTTAAAAGGGAGGAGCCGGCATAGTGTTTTACAAGTGTAGTCCCAGCACTGAGGAGGCAGGAGAATTGCCACAAGCTTTAGTTTGTTTGCATAGTGACTTCTAGGCCTGCCAAGGCTATGTAATGAAGCCTCTCTCAAAACAACCACAGAGAACAAAACAAACAACAAAAACCAGCCTGGTCTACACAGTCAGTTCCAGGGCGGCCAGGACCACACAAAACAAAAGCAAGGGTATATAATACACAATGACGGAAGGGTAATCTGTGCAGCATAGCATTCATAAAGATTTCTAAAGCGGCCAGACCTAGCAGCACGTGCCTTTAATTCCAAGACTAGGGAGGTGGAGTCAGGTAGCTAGATCTCAGAGTTCAAGGCCAGCCTGGTCTGCACAGTGAGTTCTAGGCCTGCCAGGGCTACACAGAGAGACCTTGTCTCCAAAACAAACAAATTCGAAGAAAAAAAAAAACAATAAAACAGGTTTCAGGTTTCTAAAGTATTCTATACGCTGGTTTGTTTTGTTTTGTTTTTCAAGACAGGGTTTCTCTGTAGCTTTGGAACCTGTACTGAAACTAGCTCTTGTAGACCAGGCTGGCCTCAAACTCACAAAGATCCGCCTGCCTCTGCCTCCCGAGTGCTGGGATTAAAGGTGTGCGCCACCACCACCACCACAACTCTGGTTGATTTTGTTTGGTTTTACAGAAAGGCTCTCATGTAGCTAAGGCTGGCCTCAAACTTGCTATGTAGCTAAACATGAACTTGAAGTGATCCTCCTGCCTCCACTCTCTAGAGGTGAGATTACAAGCTGGAGAGATGGCTCAGCAATTAAGAAAGAGCACTGGCTACTCTTCCAGAAGTCCTGAGTTCAATTCCCAGCAACCAGGTGGTGGCTCACAGCCATCTCTAGTGGGATCTGATGTCCTCTTCTGGCATAAAGGTGAACATGCAGATAGAGCACTCATACATAAAATAAACAAATCGAAAAAAGAAAAATAATTGTGGTGCCATTCCCTCCAAACAAGTATTACTTAGTAATTAATTAATTAATTTGTTTTTTTGAGAAAGGGTCTCTCTGTAGCTTTGGAGCTTGTCGTAGAACCTGCACTGTAAACCAGGTTGGCTTTGAACTCACAGAGATCTACTGGCCTCTGCCTCCCAGTGCTGGGGTTAAAGGCGTGTGCCACCACCACCTGGCACAGTGGGTGCTCTTAACTGTAGCACTCCAGCCTTTGAGTTTTGGTTTTTGAGACAGGGTCTCTCTATGTTGTCCTAGACTTTGATATGTAGACCAGGACGGCCTTGAACTCACAGAGATCCTCCTGCGTCTGCCTCTATCAACCGTGTGCCACCAAGGCAGAGTCTCCTATAGCCCATGCTGGTCTTGAACTCATTACATAGCTGATGATGACCTTGAATTTATGATCCTCCCTTTACTGCCTTCTGTGAGTTGGGATTATAGTCATGGACCACTTCTCTGAACCCAGGTCCTTTCGTTGAGCTACATAATAGTTTGTCCAAGACTTCTTTCCCATTCGTTTTTGACAGGCAGGTACCCAGGGTCTCCCTCCAGTGCAGTGAGCCTGGGGCGACACCTGTCAGTCAGGAAGCAGCCTTCAGGAGATCGTAATATGAGCCTGCAATCTCACAGTGAGCATCATGGAAGCCAGGATGTGTAGGGAAGTAGACAGAAGATGAGCATCCTGGTTCACTGCTTCTTAATGAAGATTCCATTCAAAATTGGTGCATGGAGGCTGAAGAGACATCTCTGGTCAAGAGCAATGGCTGCTCTTCCAGAAATACTGGAGTTCAATTCCCAGCACCCACATGGTGGCTCACAACCATCTGTAACTAAAGTTCCAATGACGCTGACGCCCTCCTCTGGCTTGCATGCAGGCACAAATGAGGTGCACAGACACACATTTAGGCAAAACACCACACACATAAAGAAGAAAACGTTTAAAAATGTTTCTAAATCGGTAGGTGGAGCAGCCTGGTCTGTTAGTTACCTCCTGCTTTAGAAAATATTTTAATCACAGCCAGGCTTGGTGACCCATGCCTATCATCACAGACGAAAGAGACTGGGGCAGGAGGATTGCTATGAGTTCAAGTGCAGTTGGGGTACATAGTTTAAACGTGTGTGTGTGTGTATGTTATGTTGCAGAGGACCTGGAGAAGACCCAGATTCAATTTCCATCACCTACATAGTAACACACAATCATCTGTTACACCAGTTCCAAGGAATCCATCACCTTCCTGACCTCCTTGGACACTTGGCACTCACTTGGTGCACATACATACATGTAGGCAAAATACTCATACATAAAAAATAAGGGCTGAGAGATGGCTCAGTGGTTAAGAGCACTGGCTACTCTTCCAGAGGTTCTGCGTTCAATTCCCAGCAACCACATGGTGGCTCACAATCATCTATAATGAGATCTGGTGTCCTCTTCTGTCATAAAGTCATACATATAGATAGAACACTCAAATACATAAAATAAATCTTTAAAAAATATAAATAGAAATAAAAAATATGACGGGTGGTGGTGGCATACACTTTTAATCCCAGCACTTGGGAGACAGAGAAAGGCGGATCTCTGTGAGTTCAAGGCCAGCCTGGCCACAGAGTAAGACAATCAGAACTGTTACACAGAGAAACCCTGTCTTGAAATCCCCCCACCAAAAAAAAAAAAAAAAACTTTAAAAATATATTTTCAAAAATATGTATATTATTATATATATATATAATTTTTAAAAATGAGGACTGCCACATGCATAGTCTAATCGATAATAGTTGACATCATTGGGTTGAACATTGGAGATAACGTTTGTTTGAGCTTCCTTCAGCATTTTCACCTAACAGATCATTTTGTTCCCTATGATTTTTACTTTTTAATTCATTTATTTAATGGACACAGGGTCTCTCTACGTAACCTCGGTTAGACTGGAACCGGAAATCCTGTCACAGCCCCTTGAATGTTGAGATTACAGGCGTGCAGCCCACAAAACCTGGCTGTGTCTTCCGTGGCAAAAACAGTAAATTTCAGACTGTGTCCCCCTCCTAGTGGCAGAACAAGGGACTACAACGAAGAGACGAAGCTGAGCGAGTGCAGACTCACGTGTCCTCTTTGTTTCTCCCACCGTGCGCGAGACTGATCTCTGTTCCTGTCTGCTGTTGGCGCTGCTAATAAAGCTCGATTCAAAAGAACGCGCTGCCGGATGCGACCTCGACGAGCTCCTTCCGCCAGCTACTTTGACCACCAACCGAGAGACGTAGGGAATCCTGAAAGGCGGGACCGGAAGTGAGGCCACCGCTCCGCAAGGTGAAAGGTTAGCGGAAGTGGCCGCCTTTCCTTTCTGCTGGGAACCGCCTGCTAGCTGTTGGTGAGTGGAGGCCTGGAGAGGGTCTTGCAATCCGCCGCCATCGCGGCCCCGGGGTCTGGTGGCTGGGCGCGCTCCGACTCTGTGGCTCTGGCGGCTTCTTGGAGAGTCACGTCGCTCGAGCAGGACCTGCGGGCGGCGTGGTGGCCTAGTCAGCGGCGAGCGATCTCCAGTCGCGGGCCTACGACTCGGGCTCGCACACTAAAAGCCGCTTCCGGGGCCTTCCGCTTTACAACTCTCTGAGCGGCTCCTTGTCTTTGTTCTCTGCAGAAATGGGGAAGTTCATGAAACCCGGGAAAGTGGTGCTCGTCCTGGCTGGACGCTACTCCGGACGCAAAGCCGTCATCGTGAAGGTACCAGTTCCGCAGGGTTCTTGGCTTGCATGCGGGCGGGATCGGAACTTAAAATCCCACTGCCTCGCAACAGTCGCTGGGCTCGGCGGCGAAGCTGCGGGTGGTAAATGCATCATAGGTCAGAAGCCATTTAATTGTGGCCGTCGTGTATTGAACATCTTACAGGCGTGTATAGTCCTTGGTAAGGTTAGTCAGTGCTGCAGTTAAGATTCTGTGGACTGGGAGAGACTGCTTCCCTGGTGTATTTTAGACTTCTGCTGTTGAGGACACTAGCTGCGGCTCCTGCCATTTGTCAGAAACCGGTCTCTGGGTCCAGGCTGCTAGCTTTGGAGTCTAGGTTCTAACCTTCATTAGCCTCGTGGACAAGTTGGTAGATGAGATGGATGGCAACTAGCATTACCTTGAATGGTTTTGTTCTGAGACACGGAACTCACTTTGTAGACCAGGCTGGCTTCGAACTGCTCGCAGGTGCTGGGATTAAAGGTGTCCGCCACCAACCCGGTATAAATATTTTGGTGCAACTTTAAACCTGCCTGTCCGAAACTTTTTTGCCAAGATTTGCGATGGGAATAAACGCTGACTAACTCAGTTACTGTCCTGTTGGCTCTTTAACTGAGCTTAGCGTTGAGTGGTTGTGGTTATCCTCTACGGTGGTCTAGAAGTGTGGAGGGTGTGCGTTTAAGGAGCTAAGATGGGGCCCCCAAGTAGTAACACGATTTTTAGTTTTAATTGTTTTTGTTTCCCCCCACTTAGAACATTGATGATGGCACCTCAGACCGCCCGTACAGCCATGCCCTGGTGGCTGGAATTGACCGCTATCCCCGAAAAGTGACAGCTGCCATGGGCAAGAAGAAAGTCGCCAAGAGATCCAAGATCAAGTCCTTTGTGAAGGTTTATAACTACAACCACCTGATGCCCACAAGGTGCGTCTTCCAAAAAAAAAAACGCAAAAGTGGATTTTCATTTCCTCTCCTGCCTCTGGATCCTCTCCCCTTGGTCCTGAGAATGCTAAGCTTGTACAACCATGCACTGCCCCGGGGAGGGGAGTAACTTGATTTTACTTTCTCTGTCTTGGAGAATTTGCCTTTTTGTCTCCTGGGTCCTTATTATTGGGGTGGGGGGTTTTCAAGACACATTTTCTCTGTGTAGCCCTGGCTGTCCTGGAACTAGCTCTGCAGATCAGATGGGGTGGTTTTTTGTTAGCAAAGGGGTGTCCTCCAGTCTGGGATCCTGTGTTCTAAGTTACAGGTGTGAGCGTTCTGTCGTTTTTGGTTCTGCACCTTTGGGCTGTGACATAGCTTAGTGCCTGCTGTTGGTAGGCAGAGAGGACTCCACAGAAGCGTTTGTTCTGAACCACACTGAAGCGATGACTTAGTTATTAAGGGTGCTTATTCTTGCCAAGCAAGCTGGGTTTAGTTTCTAGAACTCATCCATGTTACATGGTTCAACGCTGCCTGTCCTCCAGCTGTAGGAGATCAAACATCCTTTTCTGAACTTCAAGGAACCTGTGCTCACGTGTGCATGATATACATAATTAGAAATCTTTCCACACTTTAAACTGAGGTTGTGTTATGCACCTTATACTTTAATCCCAGCATTTAGGAGGTAGGCGGGCAGGTCTCTTTAAGTTCTAGGCTGGCCAGGGCTGTAGAGTGAAGTTTATTATTAACTATTTTTATCTTTTTGTGTATGTAGATGTTTTGTGTGTGTGTGTGCATCAAGTAGTGAGAATTGAACCTAGGTTCTGTGGAATAAGCAGTCAGTGCTCTTAAACACTGAACCATCTTTCTTGGTGCCCCCCCCCCCCATAAATAACTTCTTTGCAGCTATGGTGGTAGTGCAGTTAAGATCCTAGCGCTTGGCAGCTGCGGCTGGGAGAGCTTTACGCTGTAAGCCAGCTGGAGCTATGTAGTTAGTGTTGGTTGAGAAGCCAGCTTCCGTTACTTTAACTGATGTCTTTAAGGGTCGTCTAGTTTGCTCAGCTCAGGCTTAGTCCAGGATCTCACCTCAGCCTCTGGGGTGTGGATTTGTAGATGTGTGCCTGTGTGCCACACCTGGCTAAAGAAAATCCAGAGGGAGAGGTCGCCAGCCTCTCGTAAAGTAAAATGGTGACTTGCTTACAAGGAGTTTCCAGGCGTTAAACAAAGCAACATTTCCCAGTGTTTGAGGCCATGGAGGTGGCCTTGTTGAGATGATGGTTTCCAAGGAATTGCCTGAAGAAGCACAGCTCTAGTGGATGCTCCTCACTGTTCCACTGAGGCTGCTGGATCCTGACCACCCCCAGATCCCCTCAAGGACTGAGAGGTTCCCTAGCTAATCCTGCTCTGCTCCATTGCCACAGGTACTCTGTGGACATCCCCCTGGACAAAACTGTTGTCAACAAGGATGTCTTTAGGGACCCAGCCCTGAAACGCAAGGCAAGGCGGGAAGCCAAGATCAAATTTGAGGAACGGTAAGTGGGTGCTGTGTTTGTTGAACACTCTTACTGTTTCCTGTGAGAATTTTTCTGTTTCATTTATTTCATGTCTTTTTTTTTTTTTAATTTTTTTCCAGATACAAGACAGGGAAGAACAAATGGTTTTTCCAGAAGCTTCGCTTTTAGGTATATTTTTGTTTGCATCATTAAAAGTTTAAAAAAAAAAAAACCTTGTGTCTGCCTGCTGCATGGGTATCCAAAAGGGAGACCATGGGATAAGAGACATTGAAAGGGGGCGGTAGGGAAATGAAACATGGGTGTGCTTTTGTGAGTCCTGAACTTTGTGACCCTCTGGATTGACAGCCTCACCTCCTTGAAGAAAGTGCCACTTACTGAGACTTTGCCGGGGCGCTGCTCCTGACATTTCTAATACGGTGCAGAGCTGCTCTGGATTCTGTCAAAACTGAAGGATGAGGCTCAGCCTGCCTCCCGTGAGGAACCCCATCCTGGTGTAGCCTTGACTACACTGCAGGAAGAGTGAAGCAGAAATGTAAAATGCAGACACAGTAGCTGCCTTTAATGGGGGGGTTGTCTCTGAGTTCAAGGCCATCCTGTTCTGCTTAGTGAGTTCAGGAACAGCCAGAGTAACAGTAGGCCCCCACGCACACCCAAAGAATGTAGACGTGTATAGTATTAGAGAGGGCAGGTAGTTCTGAGGTTGAGGCCAGTCAGTGTTACTTAGTGACACCATTTCGAAAAACGGAGACCTGGTTCCAGAATGCTAATAGAAAAAAAACTAGTGTCTCAACACAGATCCAGTGTGGTGTGTTTTGCTTTGGAGCCTGTCCTGGAACTAGCTCTTGTAGACCAGGCTGGCCTTGAACTCAACAGAGATCCTTGCGCCAACATCTTGGGAACTGGATGGATGGTCCAGCAGTTACGTACTCAGTTCTCTTAGGACTAGAGTTTGTTTCCCAGCACCTACATTACATACACAGACCCACACAAGTCTCAAAAATGAAGGAGGGTGAGGCAGAGTCCAGCCTGCTCTACAGTGAGTTCCCAGACAACCGGTGCTGTACAACCAATCCTGTCAAAAAAAAATAGGGGGCGGGTGACAAGGGATTAGTGGGTAAAGGGCTGCTACAGCCTTGCCAAAGACCATAACTAATTCCCCAGGACCCACATGTTACCAGTTCATAAGTCTTGTCACCACCGTACCTTCACAGTGGTATATGGGTGCGCTGCCCACACAATAAATGTAATATTTTAAAAAACATTATACAATATTCTGTCTGTGTGTATGCCTGCAGGCCAGAAGAGGGCACTAGACCCCATTACAGATGGTTGTGAGCCACCATGTAGTTGCTGGGAGTTGAACTCAGGACCTTTGGAAGAGGAGGCAATGCTCTTAACCTCTGAGCCATCTCTCCAGCCCCCAATAAATGTAATTTTAAAAAATAAAATGGCTCTGCAGATAAGAGCACTGGCTGCTCTTCCAGAGGACTTAGGTTTAATTCCCAGCACCCACATAGCAACTCACACCTGTCTGTAACTCCTGTTCCAGGGGATCTAATGCTCTCACATAGACATGCAAACAGTAACAATATAAATAAAAATAAAATCGAGCTGTGGTGGCGCACACCTTCAATCCCAGCACTTGGGAGGCAGAGGCAGAAGCAGGCAGATCTCTGTGAGTTCAAGGCCAGCCTGGTCTACAAGGACAGGTTCCAAAGCTACAGAAAACCCCTGTCTCGGGGGGGAAAAAAAAATTCCTACTGGCGAGATGTTTCAGGAGTTAAGAGCACTGACTACTCTTCAAGAGGCCCTGAGTTCAATTCCCAGCAGCCACATGGTAGCTCACAGCCATCTATAATGAGATTTGGTTCCCTCTTCTGGCCTGCAGGCACACATCCAGACAACACTACACATAATATTTTTTAAAAAGTAAAATCTGTTGGATACGCTATCATGTGTCTTTATAATCTCAGCATTTTTTTATTTTATGTGCACTGGTGTTTTGCCTGCCTGCATGTGTGTCTGTGTGAGGGTGCCAAATCCTTTGGAACTGGAGTTAAAGACAGTCGTGAGTTGCCATATAGGTGCTGGGAATTGAACCTGGGTTTTCTGGAACAACAAACAGCCAGTACTCTTAACCACTGAACCATCTCTTCAGACCCATAATCAGCATTTTGGAAACAAACACAGAGTTCAAAGCCAGCTAGATCTATGTACTGAGAGCCTGTCTGTCTTAAAATATAAGAAAGAGGTTGAGGGAAATCCAACTACCAACTAGTTAATGCCAGAATTGACTGCCTGGGAAGATCAGTTGGGGTCAGTACTTCCTGTGTGTCCCACTAGAGCATACAAGATTTGCAAGGCTCCTCCCGGGGGTGGGGCTGTGTGCTGGGAGGCGGGAATTCACAGAAACGAAAGTGGAAGGCAAGTTTGCAAGCAGAAGTGGCTGGAGTTTGATTCAGACGCTTCTTGGGACTCTAAGGCCCAAACAAGAGTTTAGTCCTCCAGGGCCCTCCACCTTGTGCCTTGTTCAGAAGTCTCAGCTTTTGCCTACCCGGTGTGAGCCATGTCTTCGACCTTCCAGAATGTAAGTAAGGATGCAGGAGTGGTGCGGGTGTATGAGGGGAAATACAGAGTGCTCTAGGCTGAGAACCTGCTCAGCTCACACCTGCTGAAGGGCTGGAGGGAAGCCGAGAACTGGGGTCACCTTAGGCTCTAGAGCTGGTCATTTTACATACTGCCTCAAAGACCAGGACTCAACACCCTCAGGTCAGGACCTTGATAGTTCTGTGTGGATACATAATTTTAATTCTGTGTGGACACGTTTTAATTCTGTGTGGATACATGTTACGAATTTGGTAGATACTTTGTTGTTAGTCAAGGTGTTATGTACCTGCTCTCATGGGAAATAGGAATGCCCTGAGTTATCTCCCAGCCCCAGACGCCTCCCCTCAGATTTTCGTATTGACCTATTGGTCTTCTCTGGGACAGGTGGTCTCCTCCCTCTGACTCAGGCCACCTTTGAGCAGCTAGGTGGAGCTGTAAAGTCCGTCTGTCAACAGCCAGTGAGATCGCAGGAGCAAGCACAGATTCTACAGTGGGCAGCCACCTCCAAGGAAGGATCCAGTGCAGCTTGGCCTCCTGGCTTTTCCACCCGCCCCTTCTCATTAGCTCTTTTGCTTGGAAAGCTTTCATTTGCCTCTCGGATATAATAAGAAAAACCACAGGCTCCCGGAACAAACCTAGCTTCGAATCCTAGTTTCTTCAGATTATGTCCTGTACCCACCATTAGCCCTCCTAGGGTTTACAGTCGAATCTCTGTGTCCTCACTTACTGTGTAGGGATACTAATCTTCACAAGGGTACCTACAGGAAGGGATAGGGAGATAGCTGGTCTGCAAACTGCTTATCTCGCCAGCACAAGAAGGAATTCGGGTCTCAGAACCCAGGTAAACTGAGTACAGGGATATGTGTTTATAATCCCAGCAGTGGGGAGAAAGAGACAGACACACACCTGGGGTTTGTCGGGGTGAGCCAACCTGCCTACTGGGCAGCTCCAGACCAGTGAGAGGCTCTTGTCTTTAAAAGTAAGGCAGAGGCCTGGAGAGATGGCTCAGCAGTTAAGACTGTGTGTTGCTCTTGCAGAGAACCTGCCTTCAGTTGCCCCACCAGCATGTTGACTTACAACCATCCATAACTCCAATTCCAGGGGATCCAGTGCCCTCTTCCAGTCTCTTCAGGCACCAGGCATACACGCGATGCAGTGACATACTTGCAAGCAAAACATCTGCACACACACACAAATGTGTATGTATGTAATGTGTGTGTGTTTATTTATTCGTTTGGTTGGTTGGTTGGTTTTGGTTTTTCGAGACAGGGTTTCTTTGTGTAACAGCCCTAGCTGTCCTGGAACTAGCTCTTGTAGACCAAGCTGGCCTTGAACTCACAGAGATCTGCCTGCCTCTGCCTCCCATGTGGTGCTAGGATTAAAGACATGCACCACCACCACCGGGCCTTGTGTGCATTTTTTTTTAAATCCTGAGAACTGCACTACAGAGATGGCTTAATGGTTAAGACCAGTACTAGAGGACCAGGATTCGACTCCTAACGCACTCACATGGAGGCTAACAATCTTCAGTGACTCCAGTTCTAGGGCATCTGGCACCCTCTCTGGCCTCCTTGGATCCTGCATGTAGGCAAAACACCCATCCATACACATTGAATCCTGGAAGCTAAACTTAGGTCCTCTGCAAGAACAGTTAGTGTTCATAACTACTGAGCCACCTCTCCAGCCCATTATATTTTCAAAAAAATTAGGTTAATTTTTTTTTGAAAGATTTATTTTTATTTTTTAATATTATATGGGTGTCTTAGCCACATGTTTGTCTACGTACCACTTGCAGGCCTGGTGCTTGTGAAGACAGAAAGAGGGAATTGGATCACCTGAATCTGGAGCTGAGACCGTATGAGTGCTGGGAGTGTCCTCTACGAGACCAGACAGTGCTCTTAACTGCTGAGATGTGTCTCCAGCCCAAGATTTATGTATCTTATTTTATTTGGATGAGTGTTTTACCTGCGTGCGTGTGTATGTGTGTGTGTGTGTGTGTGTGTGTGCGCGCGTGCACTATGTGCATAACTGATACCCTCAGGGGTCAGAAGAGGATGCTGGAGCCCCTCAGGGAAATTAAGGATGGTTGTGAGTCAACATATGGGTGCTAGGAACCAAACCTGAGTTCTCCGTGGGAGCGGCAGGTGCTTTTTTCTTTGTCCATTTGTGTTGTCAAGACAAAGTTCCTTTGTGTACCCCTGGCTGTCCTAGAAATTGCTCTGTAGACAAGACTGGCCTTAAACTCACCGAGATCTGCCTACCTTTGCCTCCTGAGTTCTGGAATTAAAGGTGTCTGGCCAGCAAGTGCTTCGAACTGCTGAGCCATCTCTCCTGCCCTGCCAATAATGCATCTTTTAATCACTACACAATCTTCATTACTGCTGTTTTGTGTGTACGTGTGCCTGCTTGTGTGCGTGCACGCGTGCGCGCGTGCACATGTGTGTGTGTGAGCACGTTTGCCATGGTGAGCATGTGGCAGTCACAGGATAACTTCCAAGAAATTCTCTCCTCCCACCATTGATCTCAAGTTCAAGTCATCAGTCTTGTGTGTCAAGTGTTCTTCTTACTCAGCCACCTCGTCAGCCATGCCCCTCCATGCCCCCT